TAAAAATTTTATTTGAATAGGTACTATAATTTATTTTGAAATATGTCTACTATTACTGATAATATAATATAAAAATCATATTTTAAATACATTGTATATTTTATTTTTCTAATTTAAAAAATAAGAATAATAATAATCTAAGGTTGATAGTCACAAAAGAGCATTCCGCACGTGCAAGAATAGAAGAAACAAGTGGGAGAAGATCTTTGGACTCGAGATAGAACGTTTAATTTGTTTCGGGCAGAAAACGACAAAAGAAGTCACGAGGGTTTTCATATTCCACCGTGTGAAAGAATCTCTTATAAAAAATTACGTGCCCAGGACGTGCATGCATATTTCTTTTTTAAATTATTGCCATATAAAAAACGTGCAGTTTTTATTTTCCGAAATTTAAATATTATTTATAATAAATTTATTTTTATTTTAACTAGAATATAATGACAGTATTACACACCTAAAATAGTAAAATTAAATTCATACAAAATATATTTTAAAATGATCCGTTAATTTAAACTGAATTTAGAATGTGTTATTTTAATTCATCGTGAAATTTTATAGATAGATAAATAATTTTATTTTTATATTAAATTTTATACCATTTTTACAAGCATTATATTTTATATTAAGTCAATTTTCATTATGCTTTTAATTATTTTTTAATCTTAATTTTATGTCATTTAGATTAATAACTATTTACTGAAAATTTTGAGATTATAAAATAAATCATCGTCAAATAAAACAACTATGACGTAATATCCGATCTCAACCGTAATTTTTTTGGTAAATACAATACAAGTTATATTTGATTATGAATTTAAATAATTACTCTTATGTCGATTTATTTATAAAGTAACTAAGAGCTAAAATGTTATTGTCACAAAATTACTTTTAAATGAGATCTTAACTTATTTATAATTTTATGAATTAATTATACCATGTTAATTAAAATATTGCGTGATGGTTTTATTATATTTATTAAAGCAAATCAAACAAATTATTATATTTAAAAATTAATCATAACAATATCTTGGTTATTAAAGAAAAATATAAGACAGGTAAAATTCTAATTACACAAAAAAAAAAAAAATAGATTTAGATATTAAATTTATAAATATTCATTAGTTTAGAACTAGACTTATAATTGATCGATGATGAAATTCGGGTTAAAGATTGGAAGGTTATTTTTTCAAATCGGTTAAATTTGAATTAAAATAAATTAATTTTTTGTTGTTGATTAAAAATTAATAAAATTATAAATTATTTTTATTTTTTAATCTTCATGTTAAACATATGCAATTTTCTTTTTGTTTTTTTCCCCCTTATTAATTCACAAAGAAAAGTCAAACTCACAACATAAAACGACACGTCAGCTCCCAAGCTAAAACGTGTAGATATAGTGGACGGTGAGTGAC